ATCTAGTAAGAACTTGAACATTCGCCAAAGTACATGATAGTTCTAGAAGCGTTGCGTCACAGAGGTCATGTGACTCGATGACGCAACAGCATGCTCTTAACGCTAAAAATCGGATTTCGATACTCGAAGTGGCAGGAGCACAGATAGCCCATTGTGTAGTTTATGCTTAATAATAAGCAAACATCTGTAATGGAAAATGGATAATAAAAGCTTCTTTTCTTTTTTTTTAAGTTCATTCACTTTCTCGATCAATATCAACCATCCACGAAACTAAACAATGGATCTACTTAGTGAAATGACGTTAAGAGCTTTTCTTTCAGTATTCAGATTAGCTCTTTATTGGTTGAATAGATCGTAATCACTTTTAGAAGGATACACTATCACCAATGTGGCCTACTGACAGTGTACACACCAAATAATGAAATATTCCACTAAAAACAAAATAAACCTGGTTGTATTTCGTTGTTTGATATAACACAGACGTCAGAACAGGAAGAGCAAGTGACCCAGATCACCAATATAGGTATAATATTCACGGGTGAAACCGATTTCTCTATTAGTTTAAAAAAATGTATACCCGCAAAAACAATAGATTCACCCAGGACTACCAAGAGCGTTTCGTTGAGGATAATAACTGTGTGTGGTTTACCTTAAAATTAAAATAAAGAGATAAGACGGGTAGGTGTGTTATATGAATAAAAAGTATTTATTACACTAATAAACAAAAACACTACAACAGCTCGCATACTCTCGCAAGTAATAGATAGTCCTTTTTTCTCTAGCTGGTGTTTAGTTTTATTGGGTGTTTTTTATTTTTTTATCAAGACTGGAAGCCCCAAAACCAAACACGATTATCTGCAAAAGAGGTTGTTACGACAGCGGAGGTCACGTGACACTGGTAACACGAGTTTCTAGAAGGATCGTGAATTGTCCTGGCAACTCTAGTCTTTTCCATACGCCCTCTATTTTATTATATAAGCTCAGCAAATTATTGCAGATAGATAGATATAGAGACAGATAATTGAGTCAAGCGAGCGGTAGTGACGGCAATATAAGGTGTGTGTTTTGTTATCGAGATTGCAAACGTATTGACTGTGGAAATTAAGTGTTTTACAAAGTTTGTAACGAGAAAGAATAAGCTAGTTCTAATTAAGAAAGGACTTGTATCACTGAAGTTTCTCAGAAAGAATTTTTACGGGAAATTAACAAACGAGCAGATACGCAACAAAGTAAATCAGCTCGGTAGACTGAATGGGAACAAGTGAGTTAAAAAATCGCACTTAGATTCAGTGTTAACTCGCATTCCCAATTGATGGTGTCACTTTGTGATCTATGTTCCTTGACAGCACTGGTCGGCTGTCAGTTTCAGTCAACATTATAATTGGCTAGGAAGAGATATTTTACTTATAACTCTTTCAATCCACGTTCTCTAAACAATATTGAAACATCCCTGCGGACAAAGGAGACGTTACCTACAAGAGAACAAAGGATGAGGTAACTAGAATAAAATAATATTAGCATCTTTGGACCACCCGTTGTTGCCATGAAAGTGTGGAAACCGAATAATCAATAACTTGTAATAATTCCATATTTCTATAGAATGCGGGAGACCATGATATGTCCGCATATCACACAGGGAAAGAGCACCAATCACTTTACCTCAGAAGTGGATTGGCCTAGGATGCTTAATATTGTTACGTCTCCGTTCGTTCTGTTGCGTCATCGAGGTCACGTGACGCTAGTAACGCGTCATATTCTCGAAGCTTCGTGAATCCTCGGGAGGTTACTAGACTTCGGTATTCTTTTATATATAAGACGGTCAAGACGTTACGGGATTAAGGTAATGTGTGTATAGATAGTGAGTAATTGAACTGCAGTCAGAAGTATTATTCACGTTCGTTGTTATATCGTTTGTTTAGCGCGATTGTTGAAATTGATAGTATCGGTAAAGTTATTTTCGGAAAGAATAAACCAGTTTATTA